CAGCAGCAGGGATACCAAATCCATGGGAGGAACTCCTGCTAGGTCCGCTGTCGCTCCATGGAGCCGTGAGAGGATGATGTTCATGCGAGGCTGGCACAGTGGTTCCCTACAAAGAGATCCAGCGTCGCATGTCCAACAGATCTTCCAACAGATCTTCCTGCACCTCACTGCGATCCACTTGAGGTACGAGTACATTGGGAGGTCCCAACTCACTAAAGATCACATTCCTTTGCGGCATCTTGAACTCCCCTAGACCGCCCTCTCGAGGGGAGCTTCTGGGGGACTCATGTCCATACTCCATCCAACAAACATGGAAGTGGAACATGGCCCTGCAAGGAAGGCAGTTAGTTTTCCTCTACAAACAGGTTGTTTTCTACTTCCAGGATTGTTTCAGGGAGGGTGCATCTTTGAGGCACAAGCTGCATGTCTGCGTCTCTACAATCACTGGGATTCACCAGGCTTTGTTGTGGCACCATTTGACCCAAAGTGGTGTCGCACCTGAATCCCAAGATCAGAACACTGGAGACCCTGGAGGTCTCTTATTCTGGCTGTGGGACAGTGATGTGCCGTGCATTCATGGGGCTTTCTTCCGGATGACCCGTTTCAGTACAAGGAAAGTCAAAGAACCGGCAGTCACGTTCGACGGTGTGCTATCCATGGAGGAAGTCGGGGTGCCTAGAACATCCACTCACTGGATGGGACTAAACACCACACCACCCCGGGCTCTGTGACTCCTGGAAGAAAGTTCAGTTCAACTGCCCGAGAAACCGAGGTTCATTCCAATCTGTGCAAGACTTCTGGCAACCAAAGGATGGATCCCTAGGTTTCCTGGCCCACCATTCATTTAACAGGCTGAATCCCGAATCAACTAAGGATTTTACAGTTTTACACTACAAACACCAGGTCAACCATGTTTTTAATGGTCTTGGAAGTCTAGGGGATGCAAACTAGATCTGGAACTTGTAGGTTCTGCACTTGGCCCAAGATCATCTTTGCATCAGTGCCTTCCTATGAGTCTATCCCTCTTTCAAGCTCTTTACTGCTCTACTTTTCGCAGGTTTCTCGGGCTACCTCCAAACCTTCGTCCTCACCCTTTCCCTCGTCGACCCTGCCGTTCGTTTCAAGCGCAGGCGATTCGCTCCGCCGCCTCTCCTTGGTGGCGGGATCGATCCGCCGGATGTCCGTCCAGGTGGTGGGGTTCGCCAGGAACATCATGAGCCGCAGCGCGCCCAGCAGCTCAGGGAAGAGCATCAAGGCCAAGGTGTAGATCATTAAGACCTGCCACCCCATCCCGCCCCGCGGCGGAAGGGACTCCGGTCGCAGCCCAGAACCGGTCTGTGAAGTCCCGCCCTACCGGATTTGAGACCCCGTCGACCCCAAAGGATTCAGGACCGACTGGTCTAAGAGGCTGGTATCCCTTCCCCCTCCTTACAAGTATCATCTAAGTATCTTTCCTCAAGCTAAAAGCCAGGATGTAAGAGATCCACGGACGTCGGATGATCGAACTAGACCCAAGCTAGACGTCGGTCCGACCCTCCAGTCGCCTCTCCAGTCTCCAGTGCTCTGCTGGGCACCCTACGCTTCCCAGGCAGCGCCCCACCGAACTCTACCGGCCGTTCTCAGGGTCGCGGGCCCCACGTGCCGCGCCTTGGCGAAGGGCAAAATCAGCTGCAGCTCCCCTTCCACGCCCTCGCCGTGCACCGGCGCGTCCAAGTCCTGAAAACCCACAGCGAAGAAAGGACGAACAACGGGTTCGTGCGCGGCGCTTTGGAAGGTGCGCTCCGGAGCCCCCGGGAACCTTGCGGGGCTGGAACTGGGTGGAGTTGATGTTGGATTTCATTGGATGATGTCAAAAGAGAATCAAAGAGAGATCAAAAAGAACAACATGTTGAGTCGGGTCCGATGCGTTCCAAATGTTCCAAATTCTCCTTCACTTTCCCTTTTGGATCAAGGTCGTCGTGCGGGCGGGTGGGGATGGGTGGGGCATATCCAACATAATATGTTCATTCACCATGGAATCTGAAAAGTTGGCCCACCAACCAAGTCAACATAATCACAAGTAGAACATCCTGCCAAATCGAGGTGTTAACTGGCTCCATCAAGCAGAGCGCCGGACAGCAGGGAGCGATGGAAGTACTGGTTCCCAACGAGTGAGCGGTGTCTTCAGACACTGCGATCAGAGCGGTCTCCGTCGACTACCTTGGCCCCTATACCAGGACCCTCCTGGCCAGGCTGTTTTGGGACACTAACAGGTGGTTTCTGGGCACCTGTTGTCACCAGGAAACACCTGTGAAGTCGGATGCTGGTAGGTCTCTATAGGTTTCCGACGCAACGAGAGAACAGAAGCCGTTTAACCGGAAAGTTCTCTCGTTTCAGGACGGTCGCCCCACGAGTGAAAAGGTGCCTGGATCCGGATGCGTAAGGCAATAAGGATGTCTAGTTCCAGATGAATGAAGGGGCCGAGTATCGAGATGTTTCCCTATCTATATGCAAATAGTTATACTATCAAAAATACCTACTCCCCACCACATATATATACCTGGAAAGGCGTATGAACACTTTTTTTTGTGCGAAGGCCGTATTTGGACAGAATTTATCGTATGGACATTTAATTAACGAATTAGCGTATTTAGCCGTATGGACAGAAAAACAATACCGTACAAAAGCGTACCCATATGAAACCCAAACTTTATCAACATTTTATCGACAAAAACCCAAAAAAATATATTGATAAAACCCAATCAAACCCAATATTTGGAGGAATTCCAGAAAATTTGTCCATTTGACAAAAAAGGCCGGATGCATGGATTTTTTGTGCGAACGTGTTTGAACAAAAAAAAATGCACATTTGGATTCCCTGGTATATATATATATACCCCGAACGCGAGCTTCGGGGCGTGACCCAGTTCGCCCGAACAACGCGCGTGGTGACCCAAAGCCTGGCCCAGCCGGAGGTAGAGCAGGGCAGCTTGCTGGGACATGAAGAGCGGCACACAAAGCACGAACATGAACACCTCGGACGACCCACACAGAGCCCTGAACGAACGGCCCGGAAGCGGGAACGACGCCCGCGTGAAGAAGTGACGACGCAACGCGAAGAACGGGCGTCGTCCTTGGCATAGCGAGCCTGAGCTCGCATGTGTCGGCAAGCGGCTCTGCTACACCAAACCATGCCGGCTCTGCTACATTCTCTGCTATACAGATCATTAGTCACCTCCCCCCCGGAACCAAACCAATCGATCGCACACTCTCGACCAGATCTCACCGTCCGGAAAGCAGCTCTCGACTTCGACCGTGGCGCCGGATGCACTTTGATGCACCCACTGGGCAGCTGCAAGACCACTCCACCGAAAGCAGCCACGGTGACCGCATCGTACCTCAGTGTCTCTGCCGTCCGGTCCGTCCGGTCCTGTGCGGTCTGGATGTGATTCGAAAGGACCAAAACCCGATATGTCTGCATCCCCGAGCACTGAAGAAAGGATCGTTACAGTAAGTGTGACACCACCTTCTTCAGCGTTCTTCAGAACGCTCATGACCTGTGGAGGCGCCAGTCCGCGCGGAAACTTCACCTGTATCACTCCCTCCAGCCACCACCAACGACACGTACTTGATCGACTCGTACGACTAGAGTCTAAATGCCATGGCGCCGCCCATGGCGCAAACACATGCGCCCCTAGGGCTCCAAGTATCTCCATCCTTCGGATCCTTAGACGACCCTGGAACACCCATCGTCACACCTCCGAACCACGTCAGGTCGACCCTGTTCTTTGGCCCCACAGGTCGACCTCCACTCGAGTCGAGACCGATCCCAGCGGCATGTCCTCTTCAAAACGGACCTGCGAATCCAAGTTCTCGGGCCGCTCGCCCTTGGTGAAGGTACTGTCTGGCCGACTGACCTGGAGAGCGGGAGACTGACTCGGAGAGCTTCTGAAGGCCTGGAGCCGTGGATTTGTCCCACTCATTGTTTGGAGCTTCCAAATACCAAGCTTCATGCATTGACTCACCCCATCACCCCCTTCACCCCATCTAAAGACCCAATCCAAAATCCAGGAAAGACGCCACCCCCCCACCTCTTCTTTGAAAGGTCCTTCGGAACTCTCGTCCTCGCTCTCGCTGTTCGGGCAGGCGCTGTACACGCAGCATTCGCGGCTGGAGCGCGTGGATGCGAGCATGGCAGCATCGGCGCACCTTTTGTGCGAACCCGGCGTTGGTGCCCGGGGCTCCGCGCCCAGCCACGCGGCTTGGTCTGAACAGCTGTGAATACAGGCAGAGGAGACCGTGAATGGGATGGAACATCCAGGAGAGCTGGGGTTGGGATGTCTAGTCTTCGATCCCTTGGCAGTTCAACTGCAACAAAGTTGAAGGAATGTGTTAAAGACGGGATGTGATGGTTCCAAATTCGATCGACTTGGGGACTGACTTTCTATACTTTGGGGCTCGGGATTGCACATGTTCACCAAGAAAAGTAGATCTTGGCATGCTCTCGCCAGCCAAAGGTTGCTGCCTGAGTTGGCCCGTGAAAGAATCTTGCAAATAAGGATAAAAAATAGGCACCTCTGGAAATCAACTTGCAAAAACACTAAGGGGGCTACAACTATATGCATGAACTGGGAACCCTGAAATATGTTGAACCGGTGTAGCTTCAACGTTGTATAACCATGTACTGTATAACCCATATAGAATCTATAGAGTCGGGTGCACCCTGCCTATCCTGCAGAACTAAAGAGCTAGTCACCTAGTCTGACACTTCCTGGACCAAGGCTGCCCTGGACCATCCTCTTCTGGATCGAGGAGATGTCGTTCGAATCGTTCGTTCCAATCAGCCGGAGTCATCGGGGATTTGGTCATGATTCCCGAAGAAATCAAAGAAAGGGAACAAGCCACCGGAAGAGACCTCAAACAGCACCCAAGGAGGGCCTCTTCTGGAAAAATAAAACATGGCACTCAGATCGATCAGCATGTAGGAGCGCTCTCGGCTGGGCCAGGATCGGCCGAGCGTCCACATCATCGGCGCTGTTGTCGCAAAGGAGCCTCAGGTCCGAAGGGGTCTGAAGCTTGCGTCGGGTCGGCGTTCGGCCGTCCTCGCGCCATTTGAGAGGTTTTCTGGTTGTTTGGGGTGGTGGCGTCAAAGGAAACACAGCTCTGCTGCTGTGTCTTTGGACCAGTACCTGTTCAAATCTTATTTGTCTCGGGTGGGGTCGGCAGGTTGAAGGGTCGGAAGGATGAAGGACCAGGAACATCAAGAGATGTGGGGGAACAGCATACTTGCCTGAGAGCAGAGAGGGAGAGCAGGTCGCTGCCATTTGGTGGAATTCACCATCTGTATGCTTGAACCGAAGAATGAACATGGTTTATTGGAAGGGCCCCTGGTGTCAGCTTGAAGCTTCAACAGACACACATCAACATGTTATACTATTTCCCAAACCAATTGACACTCGAAACATGCTGAAGCGTTTAACCATGTTTAACCCCATGGCATACCTTGCATGGCAGGAGGCACAGCTCGAGCTCGAGCATTTCCGAGAGCTTGGGCAGTCGAGAAGAACCCCAGACACCCGGCCACCGATGAAAAGGAGCCAGATCCGTCTACCCCCGTCCCGCACCTAAACCACCAACCCACAACGACCACCGTGGCATACCCCTATCATCGCAGCCTAGCCGCAGCCCTCCCGCCCTGGCTCCCCGCTGAGTCCCGCAGAGACGCGCGTGCGAGCGCAGCCGCGGCCAGGGCACTTGGCTAATTCCGGCTTCTTGGCTCCGCCCTTCAAGGTGTCCTGCACGGCCACGGCCAGACGGCCAGACGGAGAGAGCGACCCAGTTGAGAGACCAGCGCCACGTGGGTGGTGTTAAGGGGATCGAGACGGAAGATCGAAGGAAGCAACCTGCCAGCAGGGCAGGGTTTGGGGCGAGGACGCCTCCAAACGGCCTCCCATAATTGAGATACATGACCCATTTTGGGTATTTAGCACTGCTACAAATACCAGGAAGAGGTATAGCATCTGGTCAAGAACTGCTGCTGAGCTGCTTCGTCGAGCTGCCGTGCCCTTTTTGTCCAACTCGGCATGTCTCGTTTCGCTCGTCTGTTTCACATCGGCCGCGGCCTCAAATTCTTGAACACTAAGAGTCTACCGCAGCGAGTATCTGATCCAAAAGAATGTAGCACCATCAGCAAGTATCTGTACCCCGCTTTTCCAACGATTCCCTGGACCCTGAAAACCACTGGTGGAGCTAGAGGAAAACAGTCGACTTCAGGGTGCCGTTCGACCCGGGCCCACGTGAGTTCACCTAGGAGTGTAAGGATACAAACAAAAAACACGGTTTTCTGTTCAGCCGAACTGTTGATGCGAACTGTTCAGCCTCAAATCCATGGGAACATTCGGATCTCGATGGATGCGACGCCTTCAATGTTTGCCATCAGCAAAAGGACGACATGGATCCAATTCACCTTCAGCCCATACTTTTGGATCCACTCCCACTGCTTGGTCCAGCACCATCCCTTGTGGATGGCATCTGTGGCTGGACACCAAAACTGATGGCATCTGCGCGGGTCAGCCACCGCCACCCGACACACAGTCAGGCAGTTCTGAAAGCTGATGGCGGCCATGGAAGATGAGAGGACCCAGCTAGACCTGTAACAGAACCCATTAGCCAGTTAGCTAGAGGACCATCACTGGTTCCAGCCTGGAGTTCTTCTGCTAGAGAAGCATCCCTTGACTGGACCGTCAAATAGAAACTATGGACTCCAGGTAGCTCCAGTGAAGCAGATAGGAGTCTTCACATGAGAAGCAGCGTGGCGTCCAACTTCGCTGCGTAGTACGTAGCTCGGACCTTCAGTGCCCCAAAAGTTGCCCAATGGGTTGATCTCGTTTTGTAGTGCAAACATCCTTAGGAAAACCAATGGGTTCTGGCAAAATTCCTGGCTCATCACCTGACGCTGTATAGCCGTTTTTCCTTTCTTGTGTTTTTTCGCTGCCGCTTGCTAGGGCCGCTAGGGCCGCGGGCCGGGGGGGGAGGTATAGCAGTCAGCTGATGTTGGAAAGACTCCCCTAGCAGCTAGGGTGGACTCTTGGGGCCCAGGTGGACTCTTGCCCCCCCCCGTATTGGAATGGTACAGTGGATATCTCATGCCGTGAGGAGCAAGTGCTCACGCAATGCCTTCCTCCAAGTCCAGAAAGTACCACTGAATAGCCAAATGACACCATCCAACTAAAGTTCTCAGCAGCCAAACAGCCTTACCATTGAGAACTAAACCTTCTGAGAGGCATTCAAGCATGTGCTCCCATGTGCTCCCCGGTGATACTGTCATTTCGAAAGGTTCCACCAAAGGGGCAAAATCCTGGAACCGCCTGGAACCGACTTCGGCTATGGAAACTCGATGTCTAGCGGCGTTGAGCAGAATGCTTTCGGTCCAAGTCTGGAGATCCTCAGTGCACTTTGCTATGCAGCCCCGGGGGGCCCTGTGACCCGATACTCACTGGTTGGCTTCACGCGGTGGGCTGTGGCCGCCTTCAAGTCAGCACCTCCGATGAAGTCGCCGTCCTGTTGGTCAGCCCGTGCGACAAGGAGGAAGGTCGAAGGAGGGGCCATGCTTTGGGAGCAAGCGGCAAGACCCAAGATGGGGTGAAGCAACACCCTGGAACTCCCCCTTTTGCCGCGAAGAAGAGGTGACTATGAACCATCATGGATCCACTGGTTGACGTCATGAGTTTCAATCAGTTCGGAACTTTGGAATGGCTCTTGGAATGTTTTCACCTCTGACACCGAACGGCGTTGGGGATGTTTCTGGTCAACCCCAAATCAGTCAATTTCTCGATGATTCCCCCAGAACCTTAGGCGCCTCAGCCTGTCATGGCACCATGATACCTGGTCTCGGTCGAAATCGCGTTCCTTTGTGGGGCGAGTTCAGTGCCCTGACCCACCCACATGTTTGTAAATCATGAAGATCCATGAAGGGAGTTCAGCCTGATTGCTCCAATGATTGGACTCCCAATCCTACGAGTATTGCGAGTCATTTCAAAGGCTTCGCCATGCTCCTGCACTCCAGGCTTCGCCTCGGCCTTGCGGCACGCCAGATTCGCCATGCGGTCGCTCTCCTTCCGGCGATGAGCGGTTTTAGGAACGGCCCCGGATCAACCGAAGACCACAGGGGAGTCCCATACCCAAACACTCCATGGGACTGGCATATTTGCCCACATTGGGGTGGTTTGGGGGGGTGAATGTAGGCATAAACCACGGAACAGGGGAGTGTCCCATATCTTGCAGATTCTTGCAGATGAGGAACAGGCAGATATTCGGATGAGTGTCCCATAGATTCCCATAGTGTGAGTCCCACTCGGAGTGTCCCATTTTGTCGCAGATGATTTTAGGTTCATGACTCACCACTTCCGTTCATGGACGGACTCTCTTGATCTGTGGCTCGTGGACCGAAGATCCGTCGCTCTTGGGAAGATGGCAAAAGATAGGTCCACGTCCACCAACCAAAGCTGTTCACAGCTTCAAGAAGAACATCACCAGTTGCTCGCCGGAGTTCTGCCAAAAGATGTGAGTGGTGCAGTGGTGTATTCCCCGGACTGGTCTACAGCAGTGACCACGAAATCGTGCATGAAGAACCAATTTCAGCCCAGAGCGACCAAGTGAGAAGAGGTGCAAGCGGAACACCTTCTTCCGCACGACCGACCCAAGTCCTGAAATTCTTTCATGAAGCTCTTTCGGTCCCTGCGGAGATCTTTTCCTCAGACTGAGCTGAGGAAGAAGAGCAGAGCCCAAAATGAAGCTTCCCAACTTCGGACTTCCAAATGAGGAGGGAAATTCAATATATATGCCCTCTGGAACAATCCATGGTTACATGGAATATGGCAGACCAAAACAGGTGGTGGTTTTCCACGTCCATTTCTGAGTCCGAGCGTAAATCAACAAGAAGCAAACAGAACCTCAAAGGTGGAGGCCTTCCCCGGTTCTTTTCAAGTCTTGGCAAAAGGAGGAGGCCTTCCCCAGCCCGACCAGCGTGCTTTCATCCGGTCCAATGATGTCCGAACCTACCAGCATCTACCAGTTCCAAGGAGTTGGATGCGAAACATGGAGGAAGGAGGTGACGGTGCCCTTATCACATCCCTCACCTCTATCAAGCAACCGGCGCTCTTGACTTGAAGCGGCCCCATGATCAGGTCGAAACGGCTGGACTGGAGGTCCAAGGAACAAGGATCCAAAGAGATGTCGTGGCCGCCTTATCGTCTCTGTCAATAGATAAAAAAGCAAATATTTCAAAAGGTATCAAGTATGGCCAAAGGAAGATGTCCACGACATGACATCATGATCCGCACTTTGTTTGATTCCAGTGCAATTTTAGAAAGTTCAGAGAGTCCCTTCCTTATCTTCCTTCCAGCTTGCGCTCTCCAACTTCCGTTCTCTTCCAACCCTGATCCTTTTAAGTACCATCCCCGAACGTCTCCCCGCACGTCTCCTTGGCCATCGAAGCGTCCAGAGCAGCCATCGGGATGTTGGTTCTTGTCGTTCAAGCGCTCGACCAACGCCGGACGCGCCCTCAGGACGTCGCGGTGATGTCCCGGTCCCGGCAGGGAGTTGGCACCCCCCCCGGAAGGGACTGGACCTCCGAAAACAGCAGTTCCAAAGGTATTGCCTTTATACATCTCTTTAGACCCCAAGGGAGTGGACGTGACAGGGGCACCCCGACTTCCAAGTTCCGCACCCATCCTACCCCATCCTACCCCTCCAACAAAAAAAATTCGGAACTCCTGGAAGTGAAAAGTACTTTGGACACATTCTGCTCTTGCTCTTGAAGAGATGGGGTCCGGTCTGCTCCCAAATCGCGACTCGGCTGACTCGGCCCGGTGTTTACGGACACACGCAGCACGAGGCCGAACACACAAGCAAAAGAAACACTATAAAGAAGACCGAACTCACAACAAAGCCATACGAAACCTCTGGCTCCTTGGTCTTCGTTTCTGCCCAAATCTGCCAAGCTTCATTTGTTGGACTTCGACATTCTGTAGTTCCTTTCACGCAAACAACTCACAGAGTCCCAGCATGCTGCGCAGGTCTCCAACATCTCCAAACCCCACCAAAACACGATCCTTCCCTTGGGGTGAGGTCCAGCTCACTGTGAGGATGCTGTTTGAGTTTGGTCCTTCTTTACTCTGGATTTTGGGAAGGGGAAACTGAGACCATGTTCCTTTTCATTCCTTCTGGACCCCAGGTCCTTCTCCACGATCTGCGCGATCTGTGCAAAGTCCTTTTTCTCTGAGAGCTTCTCAGCTTGAGCATTCGCTTTGGCTTTGGCCACCACCAGCTCCAGCTCCCGGATTTCTTTGGCCTCACGCTTCCCTTCGTCCGGTAGGACCCCACGCCTCCCGGAAGACACGCCTCCCAGAAGGTGTCTGGTCCGGCCCCGCTCCAAGCACCGCCCACCGCTCGACCCCCACCGCTCGACCCGGACCTTCGTCCGACCGGCGTACCGGGGGTGGGCGTGGCGTACGTGGGAGGGTTCAATTCTTCGCTCATGAGCAGACAGGTCTGCAGGTCTGCGCCATGAAAGTCATGGGAGAAGAGGAACCTGCACCATCTGGAACTGGAACCCGGATCAGAGATCGCCGAAGCACCGGAACGTGTCAAAGGTGGGCTCAAAGGCCTACTAAATGCCTACTACTAGCAATGGCCTCCAACCTAACTAGCGATGGCCTCTATGCCTACTGTATGTATCGCTGAAAATTACCCCACAAATCCCACAAAGCACATCCCCAGTCCTCTATGCTTGGCAAAGCCTCGTATCAGATTTGAGTCCAAAGCCTCGTTCGGTTCGGTGGGGTGTTTAACGGCTTTGAAAATCAATTACAGTATTTGTTTCCCATAGGAAAAAGGACGACTCGATGGAGTCGAGCAGTGGTCAGGTTGAAGAACTGCATGCAGAAACGCACAAGGCCCTCTGAGAGAGTTGATTTGAAGAGATCTGTTCAAGAAGGAAGCGCTATCCAAGACCCCAGGTAAGTACCCTGATTCTATTCCTGCCCACCAAATTCTCCAAACAAGACTTCCGACTCCCCGCCTTGGCTGCTCTCAAAGCCTTCTTCTACTTGCCAACGAGGGCTTTCAGCTCCAAGCGGGCCTCGAAGAGTTTGGCCTCCAGGCACTCAGGATCTACCTCCGCGTGGATCTCCATGTGCGTCGCGCGCTCGTTCGCGTGGCGAAGCTGTTTCAGGGAGTCCGGCTGCGCTGGCCGCGGCGCTGAAGCCAAGCGATGGATCAACTTGAAGCCTATCTCAACACACCGTGTGTCCTATAACTCTTCATCCAACTGTGAGGATGTGGATCTGGGACCTAGCCGTTGATCGGCTCCGGGCTCCGGCTCCGCCTCGGGAGGTGCAGAGGGACGCAACGCGGTCTGAAGCGGTTCCTTTGTGGGGAAACATCCATACCTAGCACTTCCTGTCTGGGTGCCCTGTCTGGGGGTAGGGTAGACCTATAGACAGGACACCCAGACAGGATGATCCTGGTCATCAGCATTTGGACTGGCACACTTCGACTGGACTGGGTGACTGGACCGTCCCATCGCGTCCCACAGGGCCACGAAGAGTGGGAACACTCCACTCTTGGAAGAGGATATACCATCATGAAAGAACATGTCAATTCCTGGTTTGAGGTGACTTAGGCCTGCTGCATAGGGTGACAAACAGAACTTTTACACTACTATCTCTTAAGTGACTTAGGTTCTTCAAAGTGACCGAACTTGATCCCCTGGTTTGAGGTGACTTCTGCCTGCATAGAGAGTCACAAACAAGGACTCCACAAAGGTCACTTTGGAGAAGCTGGTTTTGCGTTGCTTGTTTACACTCTCTCTTATATATCCCATGCCGCAAGAGTGGATGATGGTTAGGTTCAAGACCTTTCTCAAACATCGTAAGCATCTTTTACCCAATTTATATTACAGCTAAACCTGGAACACTCCCTGGAACAATCCATGGTTACATGGATACTGATTTCAGACCATATTCAATCGGATGACCACTTTCCGGTGCAACAGTGTATCAACAGCTAGCCTCGTGGCCACGGAGCTTCATGTGCGTGACAAGGCCACGGAGCCAAAACCCCTTGTAACATCCAAAGGCTACGGGCCTTTTGTTCGCTTATCTTTGTCCCTAAATCAACCAACCCCTCAAACCGCTGGACAACCGCAGCCTTTTCGAATCCCGGATCGGAAAAGAACCAGGGACTTATGGGGTTGAAGTCAGTGCCCTTTGGTGCAAGGGAGGACTCGTCCATCTCGGAGGACATGGTGCAGCAGCTACGAAGACAGCGGAAACACACCACCTGTCTGAAAGGCTGTCATCCTCACACCCCAAAACAAAGAAACTCTACCAGCACCCTCCAACAGGCTGTTAGTTGAGGGTTGTTGGACCCTAACAGGTCTCAATTGGTGACCTGTCGGAGGGTGCTGGTAGTGGATTGAGAGTAGATGGCATCTTCCAAAGTCGGTCTAAAAAATGGATGCCCATCTGTCGACATCTGATGCCAGTGCCATCTACTCTGAAACCACTGTATAAATAAAACGTTCTTTCAGCGAACCACCACAGGAGCCTGTAGAAAGCCTCAAACATACTAGTGCCAGGGGCATCAAACCCTGGTATTCTCGCACAGTGTCTTCCTGCCAACGAATCTCGTCGCACGCGACTGCCTGCCAGGCCCTGGCCCCACGAGGCCCTCTCGGCCCTCTCGTTCACTCCTGGGTGAAAATCTCCGCATTGTCTGGGATCCCCTTGGCCTTCTGGGTCTTAGTGCCTGTCCGTGCACGTCGGTTCGATGGTCTCTCGACGGATGGCCATCCGGCTGATCCGGGACAGCCATGGACGCTCGTCCAACCGTGGTGATGGAACAGGTCGCGTCGCATGGTGCAGCAAAGAGTTGCCTTAAAAATCTTAAGAGGCCGCTGTGTTTTTGTTGTTCCGGAAGAGTATCATTTTTGAGGGGTGGCTGGATGCAATAGTTGGAGGCTTGATGCTGATGTGTGAATGATGGTCTATCCAAGAGGCAACTGATGACTTATGATTATGAACTCAGCATCCTTTCTTCAGGCACCCGGACTGGACCTTGAATGTGGCTGTTTGCGGGAGTGTTCACACTCCCAAGACCATATTTTCCGCATGTTAATGTTGTCCACTGAGATCGTCATCTGCAAAGGGTGTGTGAGGGGTACAGGGGTATAGGTACAGGAAGGTATAGGGAACAAATGGGACCAGAACCAATCCAGACGTGAATCCACTCTGATGTTGGGCATCTTCTTTGTTCGTGTGTGACCTGGGCTTGTTCCAAATGATCCAACATGATCGAACCAAACACTTGGGTCAACATGATCCAACCCCCTCCACTACGCCACCCTGTGGCGACCTCCACTCCTCCCGGCGCCTGCACCGTTGATGCCGCTGGTGGCCTTGGTACTGTTGCCGCCGCAGAAGGAGGACTTGTCCTGCGGCGGAATAAGGCGGCGGAATGCGGATCTGGCCACGCGAGATGGCGCAGATCCGAAGTAGAACGTGAACGAGGTATAGGTATGTATATATAGGTAATGTAAACTCTTGACGATATTTCAAGCCCTCAACCCTCAAGTTGCAATATACCATCCAAAAGGGTGGATGATTTATCAACCGTCTTTTTCTTCTCTGAAGCACTGGCTGATCAGATCAATTCGAAAAAAACAGGGCCCTTATCAAACACCCATCACAGCCATGACCGACCCTTCACAGAGAATCCAACTCTACCCTATAATCGAGGACTCTCAGCCGGTGAAGGTTTGGTTCGGGTCCAAACCCCTGCTGATGGATGATGGGTTTTTCCAGGGGTTTGGAAGCCAGTTCGGAGGGTCCAATTATGGTTAAAGCATTTCCTGTTATCCTATTCCCCTCTCCACCCGAGGAAATACCACGAATACCACGATCACGGCGAGATAACGGCGATTTCCCAGTGCAGTAGTGACTCACCCATGATCTTTCCCAACCAGCCAGTCCAGGTGAAAAACGAAAATCCCTGAAGGTGGGGGCGGGCGGAACTTGTTCAGGTCTTCATAGAGCCTTCATGGAGTGTTCATAGAGTCTTCATAGAGTCATTGACAATCACCTGTGTTCCTTGGCAAGCTACAAATCAATCAAATCAAGTTGTTTCCTTGGCAACAGTGGCGACAGCCCTTCTTGGATCTGTCTTCTTCCTCCGTCCCAAAACCGACCAACGACGTCGACCCCCACCACGTACGCGTCGGTCCAGGAGGACCACTCGGCCGCCATTCTCCACCACCGTGTTTGCGGCGGACATGCCTACGCCGTGGCGCCGTGGGCACGTGGCGGGTGTGTCGCTTGGAAGGGTTCGAGAGAACTAAGCGAGTTTGGCCAAGCGAGTTGAGCCGCGAGGAAGGAAGGAAGAAGAGCCCGGAACCAGGTGTTTTTTCATGGAGGAATGGCCCGGAACCAGGGGTTTTACACGGAGGAATGTGGTTCTGCATGGGGACAAAAGGAATCGAGGAAGAAGAGGATATCTGACACTTCTATAGTGCTTCTCTTTGCCTGCGCATCCTCCTTGTTCCCTACTTGAATCAGAATGCCTGCAAGCAAAACGGTTTTGTGCATCGTCAAAGCCATTGGGAAAATAGGGTGGTACGGTGGTTTCGACTAGGAAATCGCATGGCCAGCGCCTCCTCCCCAACTCAATGACCAATCTCCTAATGCCAAAGACCACTCTCCTGTTCAGTCTCATGGAAGGCGGATGTGATTCTGCAGGCCAAACCCCAAACCTTGGCCAAACTGTGGATGAGAGGCCCCCAGCACTCGACTTATCCCCCAACTGCAGCATACTCAATTCCGACTGTTCTGGGTCACGACGCCCCTTCGCCCGTCTCGCCCCGTCTCATGTAGACTCGACTGATGAATCAACACCCCCTCCATTTGGATTGTAAAGTCTCTTCTTATTCATGACAACGATCATCTACGCCCTGGAAGATTGAAGACTATCATGGAACCTGAAAACCACTGGGTTGCAAAGGAAAATCGTCAAATCGTCTTGCAAAGGTTCATTGTCAGGTTCCATGTGGGTCTCTTGTGGGGTCTAGGCGGGTTGAAATATCATTACAGCGGTTTCAGAGTAGATGGCACAGACCTCAAGATGTTAAGTATACATGGAGGTTCATGTAAACCACCTTTCGGGCTCTGTGCCATCTACTCTTAATCGGTAAGAGTCTTCATTACAGCCCACGACGATGGCACCTCCCAGGCCACCGCCCACGACGATGGCTTGGCTCGTGGGAAAACACGCCATCGCTGGGAGAAAACGCCTGGGCGGCGGGCACGAGCCATGCAGCTGAGGTTAAGATCTGCTTGATGATCCTCGAGATATGGAGACCTCCAGGTATGCTACGATATGCTACCTAATACCAGGGTGTCCGCTTTATGGTGGTGAATGGAGACCCCTGAAACTCTACGGAGCTATAATTAGACATCCCCTTACCAGTGGGGGGGTCCTGGTAGGCGTTGTTTTGTGGTCTAATATAATCTGTTGTTGCTTTGCAGGCAACACACCTGCATGACACCTGGAGATCCAACACCCACATGAGTAGGTCAAGCCCTGTTGATCCTCAAGCAACGAGAAACTGTGATTCGGCCACATTCGCCTGCTGCAAGCTGACCTGCTGCCCATTTTGGCCACTTCCATCTCCAGAACCCTCAAATCTGATGAAGCCCCACACGTTATTGTTTTTTTGAGAAATCTGTGTGTATCTCTGTGTCGTTTCAAATTGAAAAACCATCTGTGAAACACCATCCGGCTTTGAAGCACCTAAAGACCGATAGACGTGTCGGTCACGAAATTCTGAGCTGAGGAGTTGACGATGTCTCCACGAGGAGAAGGCAAATTGAACGGCTTCTTCCAGACGCGTCGACGGAAGCGCAAGTCTTGAGATGTCTGAAGTCACGGGGCATCGAGACATCTGCCCCATGACATCCATCGAGGTACGAACAAAACCCAGTTCGAAACGCGTCATGTCATGCCCATCTTCAAAAATAAAGTGCTCCCTGGAAGAGACCCACCTGTAACCTGAAACCCACTGGTTTGTGGAGGAAGCTAGTCTTCCAGTTTGGTCCATGCCAAGCTTGGTTCCATGTGGGTCTCTGTCTTCCCGGTGTATCTCTCGAGTTCCAAACTCCTCCAGGGCACGATGAGCAACGGCGGAACTGTTCAAAGCCTGATGAACAAAATGGCTCCCAGTTGGTCGCAGACTCCACAGGGGGCACCTCCGGATCTCCGGCAGCGGCAAATGAGGATCTGGTGCCTTCAGGTGATGTTCAAGGACAAAGTGTGAAACCTTTACCAGCAATCTGGTGGACGTTTTGCAGAAGTTCGGTTCATTCCATGCTTTACCAAGCTTTAGCCGTCTGACAGGCCGTGGTTTTGAGGCCGTGGTTTTTCTTCCCGACTCCCTCTTCAACCCTTTATTTAAGACCTCAGCACCTCCAACCTCGGGCGCGTTGGCCGCGCTCTCACCCAGAAACTCGGACGCTCCGATGACCGTCCCTTCAAACAACCGTCTTAGTCAGAGCTACAAGCTGCTACACCCTAGGGCTCCAATCGTACCGAACCTGAGAAGGTGGGGGGTTAGACCCAGCTTTTGCACGGATGGGTCGGTGAATCATCGCCCAGACACTCCAGTCCGGGACCTGGCGTTATACCTTTTCTCCCCAGGTCAACCAGCCAGAAAAATTCTGCGGTCCCATGGAGCATCTGGTCAGACCTGATCACCTCGGCCAGCCATGGCACAGCGAACGCGCACGTCCTTTTGCGAAGGAGCCGCTCGGAACACTGTACAATCGTCTCACACGGAGAACGGAGAGGCTCTCTTCAGGCGAAGCAAGAGCATCCAAGAGATGTCCGTTTTGGACACTCCCTGCAATAGTCATGGAAGTGGAACACCATCGGAATTTGATCTGTTTGTAGAGTCAATGGCCATGCAAGAAGGGCCATGCCATCCGCTTCAATGAATATTTCAGGGAGTGTGCCCTGAGGCTCTTCATATGAAACTGACTTGGACACCCCATGCTACGGATGATCCAGGTGTGGTCTTGGTCCGCAGACCACTGGAGCAGGACGCTCCCGAACCGGTCGAAAGCAGCGGTGCTGAAGGGTTGGTCCAAAAAGAAGGTGTCAGGCACGACTCATGGCGGGGGACAAAGAACGGATTTGGCCAATTACTAGTATCAGAGGTCCGGAAACTCCCTGTAGTAGTCGGAGCTACCGGCAGGAACTTGTTTCCAGCATGATCCCTTTCGGCCAGGAACGACCTGTTCCTCCCTCCGCACGGGACCTCGGCGCATCCCGCACGACCGACCAGGTCGGTGAGTTCGTTTGGTTCCCGGGCTCCAGGTACTGGTCCAGGTATCTCCGACCCCTTTGGAGGTGTTTCTTTTTTTGCGGTTTTTGTATGTTCAGGTCGAAGCGGAGTGATGTTCAGCAGCTTCAGGACCTTTTAAGAGAGGATTTTCTCCGCAGCTAGTGTTTGACATCTACCGAGTTCTTTTCGATTCCAAATATCACATCTTTGAGGAACTTACGCCCTACGCGAGACCTGGGCACGGAAACCATTTGCGCTCCAGTCTCCGGCTTCGGTAAATATACCTAGAGCGAATATGACCTCTGTTTCGATAGGAAAAGACCACATTCGGACTTCAAAACAGGGGTCCCTCAGGTTCTAGAGGATGATGATTAGGTATACGTGGGGACACACCCCACATCTCTTCCCTTCGGCAGGCGCTGTTTGCGCGCATAGCGCGCTCCACGCGAGCATGCGACGGAGCGCTGCACTGCAGTGACCAGTTCGACTGGCTGTTCGAAACGGTGAGGTGGTGAGGCTGTTGATGTCAAGTAGCTTTCCTCGTCATTTCGGGGTAGATTCTTGATGACCCAAAGACCCAAAAGAAAGGAAGAACCCATGAAAACTGGGAAAAGGATGGAACACTCAAATTCCTTTAGAGCAAGGTTCTGCGAAGTCCTGCGTTCACATGGTTCACATGCATGTTTGAAATGGGTTTGGGTCAAATAACTTAAGCCAGGCTGAACTGAAGCCCGGATGCCTCATCACCGTTCAGACAGCTGGACTGCAGATGTTTCATGAGAGTCAGGGTATCAGAAAAAAAAGACATCTCCCTTATCTCTCTTGGTCCCTTGAGCACAAAAGTAGGCTCAAAAACCATCAAAAACACCAGGGCTTTGAATATGTTTGAATGGTACGAACTCCAATGTTGCAACCCCGCTGGCAACTCTCTGCTCTTCATCACCACCATGGCCCGTGGGTGACCGGACGAGCGATCAGCCGCGGTTTCCGCCATCCTCAGACCAGCAAGTCCAAGTGGATGAACCTGTGAGCTGAAGGTGTGCTTCAAAAGTGTATAAAAGTGTGGACTTGTGTAAAGAATTGGACTAACCAGCACTGATTGCTGCCATGCTCGTCTTGTAGCCCTTTTCTTTATGCAGTGTGGAGCACTGCTTTCGACACCTCGACAACGACCGGTTTGATTCAGCCTTTCAGACATCCCCTCAGGCCGCCAGGAAGGATTTGGGATCCCGAGGGCGCCGTTCATGTCCCTCGTACGAAGCCAGAAATGGGCAACCAGGACCAGGACCTTCTGGTGGCGGTGTGTCCCAAACACCCCGAAGCACCTCCTTACGAGGCGAAAAGAAGGTGACGAAAAGGAACGGCATGATCGAGGCGTCGATGTCTAAGACAAACCGTGATGTCTGATGGGCCCAAAGTGACCAGAAAAAAACGGTGAGTTTTGCCAGAAAATCCTGGCAAAAAGGTGCACATGCTGTTAAAGTCAACATGTTGTCTTTAAGATCTCTTCGCCACACCACCCGAAATCCGAACAAACGAACACAGAAACAACACCCCTCTCTCTCGCCCACCGGGCGCTCCTGCCGCGCCTGCACACGTCTCTGCCAGGCACGTCTCGCTCAAGGACGATACCCAAAGGCTCTAAGTTGGGCAGGATGGCCCCGGGCAGATCGCAGCGCACCACTTGGACCCATTTGCCCGAGCCCCGCGAGGGGTTGGGTTTGGTGCGGGTAGTAGCTGTCCTGGGAAGATGTGGTTGGAAGATGTGCAGAACCCTGTAAATAAACAAGAGTGGATAGGTACCAGTAGTGATAGCCCTCCCAAGCGTTGCAAAATATCTGTAAAAAGGTCTTTAGCATTCTTAAACTATGATGTCTGCTTCTTTGGACTGTTTTGGACCCTTGTTGGATGGAAATTGAATATGGGCCATAAGTACATACAATTGGCCCGATGTTCCGAGAGGCCTTTGACCCAAAGGGCCAGTTGAGGGACTGGGAAGTTCCGATGTGATCTGTTGGAGGCCCTTAGGCTGAATCATTGACAGCACTGTACTACTCACTGTACTATAGATTATTATATATGTACAACTCACTGTCCACCAGCAGCCTTCAGCATGCCGTGACCATCGAACGCCTTGCTAACAGCCTTGCGAATTCAGCCCCGCTGGACAGCCAAATGCAGCGTGCACGACGGCTGCACGGGTGCACGACGGCAATAGCAGCCCAAACAAGCCAGATGAAGCAAAAACAGCTGTACCAGCTTCTTCGAAGTGACCTTGTTTTGAAGTCACTTAATATCAAAGTCAAAGGCACTATCTTTCTCAAAACATATATCGCGGCACTGGTAATTAGTTTGTTCAAAAAGAGGGATGAAATCGTGAAGGAAAAAAAAACGAGTCCTGCAACTTTTGAAGCAAAAGCGCGGAAGAAGCTGGCCAACCATACCAAACATGTAGCCAACCATACCAAACATGTACCAAAGGAAACACACCAATCCTCAACCCAACCCAACTCGAAACCATTCGAAACCCAAACACGCCGAACCAAAGTAGTTCAAATCCAAGCTGAACCCGAGACTCGCCCCGAACATCCCCCAAAGCCCAGCGGCAGGTCACGGGTCTCGCCCTCTCTGCAGAAGGCCCGGAGCTCCGGTAGCAAGTCCTCAGTCCAACGAGCCATCAGTTTGGAGCGCTGATTTGCAGTTGGTTCGCCCATTCGTTGGTCTCCCCCACCAACGATCCTATAGAACCCCAAAACCATTGACCCCGTGGTTTCGACGATGTTCGGAATACCAACCCAGTCGTTTGGGGGTTCCATGTGGTCCGAATTGCAGGGGAGTAGATTTGGGTGATTTCTTCCCGGGTGATTGATGCCCGCACCGTTTTTTTTTCCGAGGAGGATCATGAAGAGAGGCTTATGAGGAGGCTCATGATCCAGTCTCTTGCAAAGAAAAAAAACAGATTCCTTTGCAACGACATGGTTGCCAAATGAGGCGAGATGATCATCAAGGCGGTACTTTGAAGTACTTCCAGACACAATCCATGTTCACCAGCAAAAATGAAACTGGGTATCAGAATAGGGAGACCACCAAAAGAGCTGTTGGAAGAAAAATAAGAGAGCACAATAAACTCATTAAAATGCCAAACCACATCAAACCACTCTTCAATCTTTTCAATGTTTCTTCCACTAAAATTCTTGGCTCCTCAAACCAAACTATATAACTCACTGACTGATTCATGCTTCATGTCTTTTCATATGTTCTACTTGTCTACAAGAATGGATTTCTTGAAATCAGCCATCATCAAACGTCAAGTTGCTTTGGTCTTTCATTGGATCGGAAGACCCCATCAACCCCCGATGGTTTCGAACGCATCGACTGCTGAGTCTCCAGAAACAACGCATCAAGTGCTGCCAAGTTCAACTGGAAAATCCCTAACTTCCGGGCAACCTTCTGAACCCATTCAACACTACACCACCCAGCACCATCACCCTCTACCACTCCTCGTTTTCTTGAAACACACACTTCCGCATTGCGCCCTAGGTCTACTGGAGTCCACTTCTCCGCATATGGAATTCCCCCCCCCCGCATCCCCGAACCAAAACCCGTCACAAGCAACCCGAACCCCAAAGCCCTTGCTCGCTCCGCTCGCTCCGCCCGCGCTCCGAGCGTCGCTCTCCAGCAGCGCCGCGTCGTCGTGCAGCATCGCTGCGCGCAGCGCTTGGCGGAAGCGATCCACGAAGCGCAGCTGCTCCACGGAGATGTCCAGCGGCAGCTCCTGCGCGGGGTCTTGAGACCGGGTCGAGCCCCTGGTGGATCAGGGGCACTCGGTCGACCGAAGTGTTGAAGTGAAGCAATGGGGCGCCCGGCTGGGCACGGCTGGGCAGAGACTGAGAGGTGGAGTGTTGGCTCATTGATGCTCAGTGATGTGGAGCGGTGACCTGGGAGGTTGGGAGGGGGGTTGATGGTTGAACATTCAGTTCAAGAAAATTGTGATGGTGCCACTTCACTGGAGTGTGTCTTGGCCTTTTTGAAGAGAAAGGAAAGCTGAAGAGATGAGGCTGTACTGAAGTCATATGATGGCCAAACCACAAAAATATGCCACAGAAACAGCAAGAAGTAATTGGCAAACTGTTGTAGTTCGCTTCACTCGACAATTCCGGGGTGCCGTTCTCTTCTGCAATTTGGATCTTTGTGGATCGTTCACACATCACATTAACATCATTCATATCCACAAAGGATTCGTCATGCCACCGTGGTATGCAGAATCAAGGAGTGAAGCAGAAAAAAGCGCAGCAATGCAAGGTTAAACATCACAGAATCTTGCCCATCCCAAAACATCTATTCCCTTCGCACATCCCTTCGCAAATCCCCTTCAAAACTTCAAAGCACCCTCCATCAAAGCAAGGCAAACATCACCTTCATCCGCTTCACCCCAAACCTTCCGGGCCGAACACACGCGCGAACGTTCCGGGACGCTCTCGGGCGAAGCGGCTCTCCCGGCGGTGCATCTGCATGTGGGTCACGGCACCGGAACGAGAACGCTTCAGAGCGAGGTTGGCGCCCAAGGGGTCTACCGTGAGGAGGAACATCTTCAAGTGCTGCTGGTGCAACACGGTCAACCTCAGGTTGAGGTCTGACCATCACCGTAACCACGGGTGCTGTGATGACATCGCTGCAGGAGATGCAAGCGCGTCGCAAGCGCGGCTGACCGGTGGCTTGGGAACCTACGAGCGGTGCAGCAGGATCACAAGTCGGACTACCCAGGTGCCACTTTTCTTCCGGGACCATGGGATCGTTTTCGGCAGTGTATTAGTTATAGACGCAGCAGCAGCAGCTGTAGTTGATCTTCCAGATGTTGTAGAGCCTGTGTATCTGATAGTAGACTATGGAGTGTGTGTTTCAAGCCCAGGTGGTTTGGTGCGGATCACGAAAAAGATGGTTTTGTCAAGACTCAGAGCCCGCCCAAGGGGAACTAACTCGACGCTCGCACCGTCACGTGGTGTGGTGTCAGATGGGTGGGTAGGTATATCCTGTGGCTACCAGTAGCTTTGTCATATGTTGGAGTTTCTGATACTTTACAGCGAAGAGATTCAAGTGGTCCTTGAATCAAATTAACATGTTTACATGCATACATTTGCTTACAATTCGGAAGAAGCTCCTTCTTGATCTTCTTGTGCCATCTTCTTCGCCCCCCAATTGGAAAAGCCGACGGTGCCCATACCTCCACCTGCGCCTAACTAGCGCCCTCATGACCTCTTACAGTACCTCTTCCCTCCTCTTCCTGGTTCCAGCTGAGTGGCCCCGAAGGGAAGCAAATGGAGCCCTCGGTGTAGGCGACATGATTACAGCACGCATACCACTCCTGCGGGTGTTCGCGCGCGCCACGCGCGGCCGCAGGTGTCGAGCGAGCCGAATCTGGAGTGTCCGAGCCGAATCTGGGACTGGAAGACGGCTGCCACAGTGAAGAAGACCCCTAGTGAAAAACCACCCCCATATGTAGGTCAATTGTATGGGTAAATGGATGTAAATAGGCCAGTCCCTTGGATGGTCTGGGTGACGCATGGTTGAGTTTCAATGTCTCCGATGAAACTTTTCTCTGTCACCAACCTTTTCTCGGACGGAGTTCGAGCTCATCTTCATTCGGTGGTGCCCAAGATAACTCAACACTGCGTTAGTGATGCTCGAGTGTCAGTACACACCTTCTGCCCTAGATGGAGGCCATCTACCCCCCATCCTGGATGGAGGCAGGTGATGGCAGGCGTGTCAATACCAGCACATGCAGCTTCCATGTTGTGCTTCAACAGTCGTTCAACATGCCGCTCTTCGATCGCGGTGTCTCTTGCCTTACGCTGATTCACGTCCGCCACATCGCAGAGAAAGCCCATCGGGCTGTGAGCATCCATGATGCCTCTCCTGGCGCAAGGCTCTGTAGCAAGCAGCGAACCCGAACCCATCACGGATCGCGGCCTCATCCCCAAATCCACTCCCTTCCCCAAATGGAAAAGATACGTCCCTCCAGACACCCAAAACCACTCCCGTTCCACCTCCACACCCTTTTCACCACTTCAAGGGCCTCCCCCACCCTCCAGGCCGGCATGCCGCACCCTCTCTTCGTCTCCTCTCGGCCTCGCCGCGCTCCTTTCGCCTCCCTTCGCCTCGCGGCTCCTCACGGTGCTGGCGCGGCCCTTCTGGTCCTCCTCGGCCGCTGCATGCACCTCCCAAACCAGCTCACAGGGATGCACGGGGCGTTTCACCTCAGGCTGCCCCGTTCGGTTCGAAGCCGCGGAAAATAGCGCGGAGGGTCCCAAAAAGCGCTCCCACTCGGAGGTGTGCAAAAGGGCGGCAGAGTCCATGCGTTAGCTAACCCCTGGTGCCATTTCTCTGGCGTGAACAGAACTGTTCAGCTGATTTGAGTGGAAACAAAATCATCAAAAAAGTCGACGCTTACCCACTGACTTGGTAGATTGGTTAACCCCAATATAGTTGATCTTTTCACTTGAAAATATGTTTAATCATCCCAAAGTACATAGATTGAAAATAAACATTTCGAAAACCACTCAGTACGCCCTGGAAGATTAACATGGAACCTGAAAACTACTGGTTGTGGAGGAAGCTAGTCTTCCAGTCTCATCCATGTCAAGCTCGGTTCCATGTGGGTCTCTGTCTTCCCGGGTGTGCTCTTGGGTCTACGACGTCTGCGAAAAATATCCGAGGAGCTGTGACTTGGACCTTGGCCTCGGCCTCGCTGGAAGTGGTAGGGTCGGAGCAGCCTGGCACGAAGGTCGCTACCGCGAAGAGTGCGGGGGGCAAGCTGCAGGGCGAGCACGGCAGCTGGGGCGGATCGATTCGAAAACATGGATTGGTTCAATAAAAAACACCGGAAAACACAATTAAAGTCCAGTACCAAACAGCTGAAGATCCCCGACACGTGTGTGACCAGTTTCTGACCTGTGTGTGACTAGTCCCTAATAAAGCGGTCTTTTGCAAGCCGATCGCGATGGCCGAAGCCACAAGGATCAAAAGAACCCTTTGCTGTCAAAAGAAGGCAAAGGTTCAACGTTGCTACCCTTGCAAGAGATTCTTGACACCCTCAGTTTCCCCCCGCGAATAAAGGTTGACTGACCAAACTTGCACCTGTTGGATTTAGTCGGGAAACGAATCCAGGTCACCCACTGGCTGCGTGGGTACGTAGGATTTTTTTGGTGCAAAAAACACATGTGAAAAGCCAGGTTTCTCTGAGGGAGAGAGTTCTTGTCCTTGTATGAATGTGGTCATCCAAGTAGTGCAAATTGATGTTTTGAGCACAACCGCGGTAGCATTGTTCCGGCATACGTCTCATCCATTGTTCTGGGCTTTGTGGCCGTTTCCAGAATGGTTCACGTGCTCTCTGCTGTGCAGCTTCAGGCTTCAGGAGGGTCATTCCTCCAACTGCGCACGAAGATACAGAGTTCTTATGTTCTTGCACTCACCCTTGCACCTACCAATCAAAACGCCGAATTCCGAGGTGTCCGGTACAATCCTACTCCTACCTTTGCCTTAGAAAATTACACCGGCATAGACCCCAAATAGCGGGTGTATAGGTTTAAAGGACACGCCGCGGACGGCTGTCACGGCAGCACGCAACATCAGCTCAGTCCACCAATATGCGCAACATCCACGCCTGCTTTGCCCAACACAGAAGTAAAACTGCAAGATCGGCAAGGACCAGCCAAAGCTGCCCAAACGACATGATGATCATTGCTGCACAATACGGTGTCATGCACAGTATGACCCCATTTCATCCCTGGCATGACATGGTTTCGTCCCTGGCATGACGCAAAAAGAATGGCGATCCAGAGCCAGCGCCTGCACCAGCACGGCACTAGCACTCGCAAAACCAAAATGCCGATCTACAGCCAGCACCTGCATCAGCACGGCAGCAGCGCCTGCAAAGCCAAAACGCAGATCCAGAGCCAGCACCTGCACCTGCACCTGCATCAGCACGGCAGCAGCACCTGCAAAACCAAAAAGCCGATCCAGAGCCAGCACCTGCGCCTGCACCAGCATCAGCACGGCAGCAGCACCCGCAAAACCAGAACGCCGATCCAAAGCCACACCATTGAGAAGTTAGAACCCCTATAGCCTGCAGCTGTCTGGGGAACGATCCTACTTTTGCCTTAGAAAAAGGGCACTTATTTATATATGAACTTATGTATATCCCATAGAACCATGTATACATAAAAACATAGTCCAAAGCTACACATCCTGCTACCGCTGTCTTCTTGATTCTTCATAGGGTCATAGGCTGTTCGTGTCACGTTGATCTCATACGGACTATAAGAACTACAGCAACACTCCCCAAACTAAAATAGATCACCTTCCACTACCTCCATAAGTACCTGGATTCTTGAGTCATAGCCTACTCCGATAAAAAGGTGACTTCAATGATCTGGTTTCCTGACTCTGGTGTAGCTTTCCCGACTCTGTCTTCTCCCCTTACTCATTAAGCCTGCCATCTCAGTGGGTGTTCGCGGGGCGCGACTGAGTAGGGTGCGACCGAGAGAGATGGCAAATCATGATGCTCCAAACGCTGCATGGGGGTAATTGGTCCAGTGCGCCACATCAACGCCTGAACCTCTTCGGCTGAAAACATCAAAATAGACTCCAGATTGAATGAGCACAATTCAGAATGGGCACCTTTTCCTAGGTATGTGGCAACGTAGTAGAAGCTTCTAGAAGCTTCGGCCAATGATTCTTGGAGGCCCTGAATCCCCTCCCCTCGTGAGCCGGTGGCGAGCCCAGCCTATCTGCAGGGGGCAGGCCGCTTTTCCACGGGTCAGTTGATTGAAGATGTGCAACTGCTGATGAATGTCACACGGCATGAGATCCTGAAATCGAGCTGTCGACATCATGCGACGCTGTATGCGACAGCGTCGCGGCCCGGGACTCCGAAGTGAAACTCCATGTGTCAAAAAAGTGGAAGACTGCGAAACATCAAAAGATTTGGAATGCTTTGACCCCAAAAGGTCCAGAATCTGCGATTCTGACCACTTGGCGAGACTGTCCGAGACTGGAAGGCGAGTCATCTCCGGGACAGGGGGATCCGAAAAAAAGGGTTGGGTCCATCCACCCACAGCAGCTGAAACGGATGAAAGCGCCTGCTTTCATGCCTTACAAACGGAGCCTTATGTCCCAGTCCAAGCTCATCAAAGCTCCACTTGAAAGACGAAGTCGAACACTGCCATGGCTGAGGATGCTGCCATGAGGATGTCGCCACGGAACGGACCTTCCAACGGACCTTCCAACGGACTTCCCACGGACTTCATCCGCGTGGGAATTCGCTTCGAGGCTCGGTCGATGGAGATGCAGTGGTTGAGTCTGAAAGATCCTTCTCCTGCCGTCAACGCCACAGCGAACGTCCGCCATAGCGAACTCGGATCGGATCTGGTCTTGGAGCCGGCGCTCCAGGGTGCCGAACGAACGAGCGGCGGGTTGCTGCTTGAGGCGGCCGAAGGGTGGGAGTTCAGCGGAGCTGGCCGACGGTCACGTCGGCTTCATCCGGGCACACGTTTGGGGTATACCAACCGCCAAGCGAAGAACCCCAGCGAGA